GGTGCTCCGGTTTCCCCTTCCACTAAAAACATATACGCTAGCTCTGGCATGCGCCTCCTGTACAGTGACCTGCTCCCAAAAAAATACCATCCAACCTCTCAAAAGAATCAGTGAAAAACCCTCACTCAGCCAATCAGATCTCAGCCTATCCGATCTCAGCCTATCCGATCTCAGCCAATCCGATCTCAGCCAATCCGATCTCAGCCAATCCGATCTCAGCCAATCCGATCTCAGCCAATCAGATCTCAGCCAATCAGATCTCAGCCAATCAGATTTCAGCCATTCAGATCTCAGCCAATCAGATCTCAGCCAATCAGATCTCAGCCAATCAGATCTCAGCCAATCAGATCTCAGCCAATCAGATCTCAGCGTTCTCAGATTTCAGGCAAAGGAGTCAAATAGTGACTCACAGGGCTCCTTCTTACAAGTTACTACTAATATGTTACTTTCTCAAAACTCTTTATATTTGGACCAACTATGCTATTGATGAGGGAGAAAGTTAGGTACCCCAGCTTTAAGTCAAAAAGTCGGGTTGAGGCTTTTGATTCCCTCTAAAGACTATTTCATACATTTGACCGATCGTTTTTTTTCTCCCAAGTTGAATTTGCTGATATAGTAAAAGTATTAGTGCTGCAAAAACACATCTCGATCCCTTTCAAGCCATGTCGGCAAATCTTTTAGACATTAGATAATTCATACAGTCTATAATTATGTATTTAAGTCAGGAAAAAGTTGCGTCACCAAATCACCACTGTCACAGACGGTTACATTACGGCAGATCCTCTTTAGCTGACTCAACTCTATGAAAAAGATATTTATTTTGCGACAAAGACTTAATGTCATTGTGTAGATTTCCCACCACAGCTGCAGGTGACCCTAATCTGTATTCGTGAGGAGTTTGCGTGTATATGTATATACATGTTTGAGGTGGTTTATTTATTTTATTTTATTTTTTATTTTATTTATTTTTTTATTTTTTCTTTCAATTATCATTATTGTTATGATTTATCATTATCATTATTGTTGTTATTATTTGCTATTGTTATTATTATTATTATGTTATTGTAATAGGTATATCCCCTTGAATATTCATAGTGCTGGTATTGGCAGAGGTAGTCAACAGATCAGGTGTCGAAACAAAGTCAAATATAAAGGAGAAGAAAAATAAACACAAAATAAAAGAGAAAACAGTAACATTTTGTTGTGGGCATGGGCAGTAAAATGACTGCGATACAACGAGTCCTTATGTTTGTACGTATTTGTTTATGTGCATGTTCATGTTTGTGTGTGTTCAAGTTTGTGTGAGTTCATGTTTGTGTGAGTTCATGTTTGTGTGAGTTCATGTTTGTGTGAGTCCATGTTTGTGTGAGTCCATGTTTGTGTGAGTCCATGTTTGTGTGAGTCCATGTTTGTGTGAGTTCATGTATGTGTGAGTTCATGTATACGTGCGTGTGCTGCAGTTGTGTGGGGTTAATCAGAGGGATGTATTTGGTGGTAGAGGGCGGCAGCAGACAGAGTTGCTTGTGTTGGTTTATTGTTGACATTACGTTATTGTAAATGTTTTAGTAATATTAAAATAGTTTATGAAGGGTTTCCAGATTTCTGTGAGGGTCTGTAATTCTCCATCATGATGAGCAGTAGAGAGTGAAGATGAAATGTGCTGAGAGAGAGAGTTAGTCCAGTGGTTGGTATTTATGGAGTTTTTAGATAGCCAGTTTTGTAGGATTGTTTTCTTGGCGATAGTCATAGTCAGCGTCAGAAGCAGGACGCTTCTGACGCTGTGCCATGGCCCAGAACAAATATACATTATGACTTCTATATAAACAAGATATATCTTTCTGTCTATGGATTCACAGTGTTGCATTTCTCTCCAATATTTTGATATCTACACTGCAAAAAGTGAAGAAAAATATCAGCCTCTGGTGCACACTGGGATAGTCTTGCGCAGTTTTTCCAATTGGGTTTTACTGCAAATGGTAAATAAATTCTTTAATGGAAGAATAGTTGAAGCATCTACAGCTAGTTATGGTAGCTATAAACCATAGCTTCTACTTATTTTGTATATTGTGTGTGCTCCCTGTGTGCTCTTACTACTGTCCTGTCTGTGCACTGCAACATTGAAATTTGTGGGACGAATAAAGGAACTCTTATCTTATCTTAAAAAGTCAAAAATTGCTTAAATTTGGCAAAATGTATCTTAATTTCAGCACATTCTGACTTCCTTAAAACATATTGTGTCAATGGTACAAGCGGCTAAATGATCTTGTTTTGAAAGGTTACAAGAAATGTCTCCCTTGGAATGAGAAAATAAAACAACAGATTCTTGTTTTAACACAGTCAGAATGTGTTATGATAAAAACCACTCAATTCAAGCTTTTATAATAATAATAATAATAATAATCTTTATTTGTATAGCACTTTTAAAAACAATGTTTACAAAGCGCTGCACAGTCAGCATAATAAACAATAAAAACAGTCAAAATACAAGGTCAAAATAATTAGATACAGAAACACAAAGCAAACAGAGCAGAACACAAAAGAGACACAACAAAGACAAAGCAGACATTAAAATACAGCATGTGAAGTTTAAAAACTAACAGTTTAAAGCTGTTTGATAAAAGTGGGTTTTAAGAAGAGATTTAAAAGAGGATACTGATGGTGCCTTATCTCCTCGGGCAGGTGGTTCCAAAGCCGAGGAGCCCGGACAGAGAAGGCTCGGTCACCTTTCGTCCGGAGCCTCGACCTTGGAACAGTCAACAGGGACCTGCCCGAGGATCTAAGGCTGCGGGGGGCTCGTAGGGGGTTAAAAGTTCAGAAATATAGCTTGGTGCCAGACCTAAACGAGCTTTAAAAGTAATCAGTAAAATCTTAAAATCAATTCTAAAACGCACAGGGAGCCAGTGGAGGGACGCTAAGACAGGGGTGATGTGCTCCCTTCTGTTAAAACCAGTGAGAAGTCTGGCTGCTGCGTTCTGGACCAGTTGGAGGCGGGAGAGGGATTTAGCGTCGAGATTGGAGAGGAGGGAGTTGCAGTAGTCGAGGCGGGAGAAGATGAGGGCGTTGACAACTTTATGGAGATCAGGAGGAGTGAGGATGTTTTTAATCTTTGAGATTGTGCGGAGGTGAAAGAAGCAGGTTTGGGTGGTTTTATTGATGTAGGAGCGGAAGGTGAGGTGAGAATCGAAAATGACACCAAGGTTACGGGCGGAGGGAGTGATGTTTGAGGACAGGGGCCGAGGTGGGTTTGGATGTGGGATATAGATGGAGGCGGGTTGATGAGGAGGACTTCTGATTTGGAGGTGTTGAGTTGAAGGAAGTTGTGGGCCATCCAACGGTTCACATCGTTAAAACAGTCGGCCACAGCAGCCAGACTTCCAGGGTTGTTTGGTCTCAGCGGGAGGTAGATCTGTGTGTCGTCCGCATAGCAGTGGAAGGACACGTTATGACGGGCCATAACGTGTCCTAGGGGGAGCATATAAATAGAAAATAAAATGGGACCTAAAATAGAACCCTGCGGCATGACTTCATATTTGATTGATAGATAGATAGATACTTATTGATCCCGAAGGAAATTGTGCACTTGTCCCTTGCTCGCAGTCATACAAAGATACATACATAGGTTAGAATTAAAAGATGCAAAAGTTAAAAACGAGACAATAAATACATTAAAAACATTAAAAGAGAAGTTACAAGAAACAATTCTCTCTGCTCCTCCCTGAAGTGGCTTTGTTATAGAGCCTCATGGTGTTGGGGACAAAAGAGTTTTTTAGTCTGTCCCTGGAGCACCTCAGAGAGAGGAGTCTGGAGCTCATGGTGCTTCTCTGGCGGGAAAAAAAATAATTTAGTGGGTGGCTCTGGTTGGACAAGATCACCCTGATCTTGGAGAGCGTTCTTTGCTCTCCTCCACTGAATCCAGACCCAGACCCACCACAGAGCCCGCCTTTCTAATGAGACGGTTCAGCCTCTCAGTGTCCCTCTTTCGTGCACTGCCCCCCCCCCCCCCCCCAACAGACAACTGCATAGAAAAGGACACTAGACACAACAGACTGATTTGATCATCTTTTGCAGTGTACACAGGGAGAGGCGGATAGACAGAGCAACTTGATAACTGCTGGTGGTCCACATCTTCAAGTCTAATAAATATTTACAAAACAGGGGCACCAATGGAGAGTGGGAGTCAGTGTTTTTATCACGGGTTTCTTTCCCCTCGTTCCTTATTTCCACACCACAGTTTAATCTTTGTGATAAAAGTAAATATTGTTTGGCGGCTCCTGGTTCTCGTCCACTTGCTCGATTGCGTTCAGTTTGGTTTGAGCCTCAGAGAAGTATTTACAACATAAATATTGGAAGGTAGTGGTGTTAAAATGGCAATGACTGAAGAGTAAAAAAAATAAATAATTTTCTTAGTATTTATAATAATTTCTTGGTCAAACAGTTAAACCATGTATTTGCTAATGTTGGGGTGTGAATGGTTGGTGGGATAGGCCCATGACACAGACTGGTTGCCTCGCTACTGTCAGTGTGCCCCAGGGCAGCTGTGGCTACAGTAGTAGTTTATCACCACCGTGTAAGGAGTGACTAAATAATGACATGTGAAGCCTTTGAGCGTCCAAAAAGTACTATATAGAACTGATTATCCTCTTATTATTATTATCAATGTTAAATTGTTAAAAATCTATGGTTTAAATCTAAAGTTAAAAAGGCTGAAATGATAAAAGACAAAACCAGAGAACATGAAATGCTTTCAGAGACGCTCCCTTTCGACGCCGCTGATGTCATCGTTTTAGCCCCTTATGTTTTCTTTCGTATAATAATAGGACGTGTAAGTGTGTGTGTGTGTCTGGCTTACTATGGCTGTTTTTAAAAGAGACACAACAGGAAGTAATTGTCCTACTACTACCAAGCTGCTTTTACGTCATTGAGTCCAATCAATTCTTTCGACATAGTTACAGTGTTTTTCTCATGTCCAAAATCCTCTCTGTGCTTTCCAGAGCTGAGAGATGGCGGACCGTTTTGACTGTGACAACTGTAAGGAGTCTCTGTACGGGCGGAAGTACATCCAGTCCGACGACCGTCCCTACTGCATCCCCTGCTACGACAGCCTCTTCTCCAACACCTGCGACGAATGCAAGGAGCTGATTGGCCACGACGCTCGGGTAAGACTCCACTGAAGCTGTCGAGTCTGGGCCTGCCACGATTGGTTGACTCATTTTTAAAGATATATTTATTTGTTGATAGTCCTTGCCGTTGTAGTAGGGGCAAGGGCAGTGATGATCCGGGACATTTAGGGACATTTATTAACGTTTATGGACAGTGGTCATCCTGCTCCCCAAGACCAAAGGCTCCTATGTGTTTGTTGTTATTGCAAATCTGGGTCAGGACTAGTCTGGTCTTATACATCCATAAACTCTGGTCCATGATCATTTCCTACATGTACGTCTGGGTCTGATCCTAGTGGCTGCAGTTTCCTCGGTTGAATCCCCTCTGACCAATCAGAGAGTGGGAGGTGTTGGTGATATCAAGAGTTTTCGCCAAATTTGCCGGTTGTAGTTTGTCGGAGAATGTGATAAAATAATCTGTTCTGGTTCAAACCAAATATCAAGAAACTGAAGCCGGAGCAAGAGGAATGTTTAATAAATGTCATTGCTGCAAAGATTTTGTGGCTCCACTCCCCACGGGCTCCGTTAGTGGCAAAGGAGATGGCTAAAGCTAGGCTAAATGCTAAAGCTAGGCTAAATGCTAAAGCTAGACTAAATGCCTCCCTCACTCGGGCTCATTACATACGTCACAGTAAACCCAGATCCCATCGTTTCAATCTGTAAAGCTAGTTAACCCCTCCCACCTGTTTACAGAGTCAATGGAGCAAATACAGACCTTTTTGTGAAAATGAAATTAGTACAATGGTGTGGTAAGGGCGACAGTAGCTCAGTTGGTAGAGCATTGGCCTTTGAGCCTGAAGGTCGTGGGTTCAAGCCCACCGTAAGACCTACTTCACGACTCCCACTGATGACTGCTGTCGTTGTGTCCTTGGGCAAGACACTTAACCCCACTTTGCCTGAAGCCCCCACTGAAAGATCTCAGCTCCTGTGGACTCACCACCTGCAGGAGGATCAGTGAGGGGCTGGTGCTCTGTGTACTGGGTGCAGCTCTGACTGCCACCCCCCCGACCCAGAAATGGATTAAGGGGAAGAAAATGGATGGATGGATGGATGGTGTGGTAAGACCAGGCTAGGTCAGGACCAAAAAAGCGAGTACAGAAAAAGAGTGTACACCTGTTTGTGGTATCATACACAACTCCACATTTAGAAATGGGTCAAAAAAACACAAATTGGAAAGTGAGAAAAAAACAAAACAATCATTAATGAACATGAATGAACGCGTTGTTGCCAGAGCGAGTTGGGGCAACACTTGGTCCATGAGCACTTCCTTATTGGGCCTCATTGAGCTAGGAGGTTAGCATTATCCATCTACAGTTTACACAGTCTATGTATTTGTCCCACATTTCTGAACTGGAGGAATTTCTAGGATTGATTTCAGTGTTTTATTGTACAGTATTTGTTTCAGCCATTGATTCCTGTAAGTTTACGGTACTGTGTGATGGAACCAGTCTCACAACCACGCAGACAAGAAAACATTACGTCTTTAGTTCCAGGACTCTTGAATAATAGCCAGCCAGTTCCAAAGTGTGGAACATTCATACGAGCAAGGCCAGTAATCTCCACGTCCAACTGCATACACAAAAGACCAATAATTACTACAGACTTGGCCAAAATAATGAATGACTTCTAAGCTGAATTTGCCATTAAAAATTACAAGCTGCTTATAATGCCACTGATGCATCACTTGGGTTAAATGAGCCATCTCTTATGTATTTAGTGTGGCGGGTCACAGTTCTGCCTGATTTAACCTGTGATTATACAACCAATTTGAGCAAAGTCCACATAGGCCTTTGCATTCATGTCTATCTCGTAAAACTCGACCAAGAAGCAATCCCTCTTATTAATTCCCAGAAACTTGCAAGTTGAGCTAATGAAAAACACTAACATTTCATTAATCATTTCAAGTTTAGTTTTACATGTGACGCTTAAAACCAGTGAGTTATTGGAAAGGCAAAGAGTCAAAATACACGGAGCACATTTTTGGCGTCTCTTGGTCTTTTGAAGCAAACTCCTCTTTTCAACAGAGTATGCATCATCGGACTGAATAAGAACACACTGTGGTGAAGGTTGTAACCAAGTCCATGTGTCGTAGTAACCTGGACAAGCAGCGTGGAGCAGGCAGGACATAGATAGAGAGATACTTTATTGATCCCCGTCGGAGAAATTCAGGTGTTCAGTAGCAGCAAAGATAGAAAATCAAATTGATCATTCTAAAAAAGATCGTAATAATCAGCTACAGGCCTTCAGGTCACAGCAGCAGAGGTGGAGCAGGACAGGTCACAGCAGCAGAGGTGGAGTAGCCTCTGGGTGGAGCAGGATGGGTCACAGCAGCAGAGGTGGAGTAGCCTCTGGGTGGAGCAGGGTGGAGCAGGACAGGTCACAGCAGCAGAGGTGGAGTAGCCGCTGGGTGGAGCAGGACAGGTCACAGCAGCAGAGGTGGAGTAGCCGCTGGGTGGAGCAGGACAGGTCACAGCAGCAGAGGTGGAGCAGCCTCTGGGTGGAGCAGGGTGGAGCAGGACAGGTCACAGCAGCAGAGGTGGAGTAGCCGCTGGGTGGAGCAGGGTGGAGCAAGAAGGGTCACAGCAGCAGAGGTGGAGTAGCCTCTGGGGGGAGCAGGACGGGTCGAAAGGTGGAGTAATCGCTTGGTTCGAACCATTTTCTCTGCTCCAGTCCAATGTCAGCATTCCTCCAGTGGATTTTCACCTGATCCGCTTGGTTTGGACCATGAATCTTCTCTGTTCTGGTCTGGACCAGTGTAAAGCCATGAACGCTGTACGGCAGCAACATCTCAGGTAGAAAAAAACAAAATAAATAAATATTGTAAACCACAAAACAACAACAGACACTTAGGACTTGCAGCCATTTCCCTGGACATGAGCAGGACATGAGCAGGACATGAGCAGGACATGAGCAGGACATGAGCAGGACATGAGCAGGACATGAGCAGGACATGAGCAGGACATGAGCAGGACATGAGCAGGACATGAGCAGGACATGAGCAGGACATGAGTAGGACACGAGCAGGACATGAGCAGGACATGAGCAGGACATGAGTAGGACATGAGCAGGACAAGAGCAGGACATGAGTAGGACATGCGCGGGACATGAGTGGGACATGAGCGGGACATGAGCAGGACATGAGCAGGACATGAGCAGGACATGAGCAGGACATGAGTAGGACATGGGCGGGACATGAGCGGGACATGAGCGGGACATGAGCGGGACATGAGCGGGACATGAGCGGGACATGAGCTGGACATGAGCGGGACATGAGCGGGACATGAGCGGGACATGAGCGGGACATGAGCGGGACATGAGCGGGACATGAGCGGGACATGAGCGGGACATGAGCAGGACATGAGTAAGACATGAGCAGGGACATGAGCAGGACATGAGCAGGACATGAGCAGGACATGAATAGGACATGAGCAGGACATGAGCAGGACATGAGTAGGACATGAGCGGGACATGAGTGGGACATGAGCAGGACATGAGCAGGACATGAGTAGGACATGAGCAGGACATGAGCGGGACATGAGCGGGACATGAGCGGGACATGAGCGGGACATGAGCGGGACATGAGCGGGACATGAGCGGGACATGAGCGGGACATGAGCGGAACATGAGCGGGACATGAGCGGAACATGAGCAGGACATGAGCAGGACATGAGTAAGACATGAGCAGGACATGAGCAGGAGATGAGCAGGACATGAGCAGGACATGAGCAGGACATGAGCAGGACATGAGCAGGACATGAGCAGGACATGAGCAGGACATGAGCAGGACATGAGCAGGACATGTTATTAGCAAAAATATATTCCAGTTGTGGGAGTTCATTGTGAATATATATTGTCCAGATCTGGGGCATCTTAGGCTTCCAGAGGCCTCTAAAACACATGCCAGAGCAACCACAACTGGCTCTACTCTGAGCTCCTCATACTTAGCTAATTAGTTATACTTAATTATGTAGAGAAATTTGTCCTCTGCATTTGACCCATCCTTCATTGTCACTGGGGCCTCTGTCAGGAGCTGTGTTCTCCTGGGAACCCTCTCCAGATGTTGATGCTCGACTTGGTCAGGACCAGACCTGGAGAATTTTGCCTATTGTGCATGTTAGGGGAAACTGGAGCACCCGGAGGAAACCTAAGTAGACACGAGGAAGCTCCCAGATACATTTGTTGGCTCTGTAATTGTGTGCATAATTCAGGGGTGTCCAAGCATTTTAGTAAGAGGGCCACTTCACCAGACCAGTCCAGTGGTCAATATCTCAGACTGGTTGTTCTGAGCTTTAAAATAATCTATGACAGAGCTGAAGTTGGCTGAATGACACGTGTTTACCATTTCACCAGATACAGTAGGGCCAATAATGAACGTTTCTGACACAATCAAAAACCACGTCAGTTCAGTACAAGTAAAATAACGATGGAATTTCAGACGTAGTGGGCTTTAGAATGAGTTACGACATGTCTATAATGGCTGAGCTGAAGTTGGATGGATGACACAGTGACAGAGTGTGTCTTTCTGCAGGAGCTGTTCTACGAGGAGCGCCATTACCACGAACACTGCTTCCGCTGTTTCCGCTGCGACCGCTCCCTCGCCGACGAGCCGTTTACCAGCCAGGAGAACGCCCTGCTGTGCAACGACTGCTACTGCAACGAGTTCTCCTCCAAGTGCGTGGCCTGCGAAAAGGTGGTCATGCCGGGTAAGGCCGCGGCATCGAGACCGGGTTGGACAAAGGGACCAGAACTGCTGCAGATACATTGACCGTTTAGTTTATCCCGAATCAACGTTCAGCTAGAAAAAAATACCAAGAAAATGCCCTTTTTCTAACTTTTCTGTTATCATTCTTAGCTATTGATCCTTTGCTTGCAAGTGAGTCCTTAAAGTAGCAATACGTAAGATTTTCATGTCAAGTCACACGTCGTGTGCCATTGACGCATTAATACGTCAAATGCCTTTTTCGCTATTTTCACGTTCCCAGATGTCTATTGTATCTAATATGTATGGGGATGACTTGAGACCATATTTTATCGAGCCAGCAGGTGGCAGCATTGCTCTCTGAATGGTTTGAAAACATGTAGGTGCACATGTTGTGCCTCTTTTTTCTCAACTTTCTGGTGATTTCTGGTGATTTCAGTAAAACTTCCTTCTACTCAACGGAGGATTACAGGGGAACAAAAAAAGCTATAAACAAAATTCTTTTTGCTGAGGAAAGTAGACAGTCCATTCTTTTAGAATCTGGTGTTGGATTTCAGATAATCATAGTACACAATATTCTGTGGGTCTTGAAAAATCAGTAAAAATCATCAGAAATGGCTGGCACTGTGGGAGTACCTGTTCTGAAATAGGCTGGCATTCAATGAGTTAAAGGGCCCTAATCTGTCATAATAATAAAACATGCTCTTTTCCAATACTTCTTTAACAGTAGTTCAGAGATATTTATATTTCAAAATTAGTTTTCCAGCCTCTAAATCTTGTTATTCAGGGAAATTATTGTTCGATGTCCCGCCCTCCAACGTTTCACCAATCAGAAAGTCTGTGATCCGGGCGCCAGAACTCAACGTGACAAGCTAATCTCACTGGTAAAGTACCATGTGGCGCAGAACTAAATAAGGTCTCGTTATGATTCTCAAATCATTAACGACAAAACAAGGAATAAAACCAGGATTTCTATCTTTTTGAAAAAGGTGTTGGTTATAGATTTGTTGTTGACAAAACTCTTGTCTATTCAGTTGTTATGGTCCCAGCTGGATTCGTCTGCATATCTGGCAACCTGAGTCAGGGAGAGTGGGAGAGGCTGCAGTACCACTTTTGGCCACATTTTTACATACTGCACCTTTTAATAACGTCTAAATAGGAATAAAAGTAAACATATCTGATTAGAAAAAGACTAGAGAATGGTTTCCTCTAATCAAACACAAAACACAAACAATAAAAACACAAACAATAGAACACAATACAACAATAAAAATGCAGTCAAGAACACAGAACATTTCAGATTTATGCAGCTAAAATCTGGAACAGTCTTCCTGAAAATAAGGTTCAAAACAGTTGTGTTGAGCGGTGCACATAACTGAGGGGTTTTATCTATCTTTTTCAATTAACTATTTAGGATTTTAATGTCTTGTGTGACGGGTTTTATCATGCTTTGTTCAGCACTTGGAGTTGCCTTGTGTGTGAACTGTGCTATACATTTAAACTGGCCTTGCCTTACACCTTTCATGCAGTAACATGTAAACCCAGGGAACTGACACAATAACATCCATTCAGGGGTCGAGTCAGTTTCTTAAAAATATGAATAATTGGAATGATCGTATTTTGACAATAAACAAGTGCCACTAAAACCTGATGGAGGCAAAATAATAGATCCATAAACTCTGCTCTGACAACTAACTCTAGGTAAGAAAGAAACAAGCAAAAAGTAGAAGTCTAGAAATTAAAATACTATAATTTTATGTCTCAAGATCTCTTTTATCTATTTAGATATCTGTTTTTATCTTGATTTAATAGTTTTAATTTAATTTTATATCTCTTTTTGTTTTTTTTATTATTTTTATTTTATCTTAATTCTTTTTGTATTTTATTTTCCGCTCGTTTAATTTTTATTATTTTTATTTTATTATTTTACTTGATTTGTTTTGTATTTGTATTGAATTTTGTTTATTTTATTAGAATTTTTTTTTAATTTTAAATATTTGTTTTATTTTATTTGATTTTCATTTATTTTATTTTTTTATTTTAATCCTAATTGTTTTTAATTTATAATTGGTCTCATTTTATTAAATTTTTTTGTGTATGTTTTATTTATATTATTTTACTTTAATTGGTTTTATTTGATCTTAATTGTTCTTATTTTACTTTAATTGGTTTTATTTTAATTTAACTGCTTTTATATAGAGTTTATTGCATTACCTGTATCTCCTCCAGTGTATTTTCTGAATATGCTCCGTACACAACGTACACAACCAGCCATGTTTTACCTACAGCACTAAAACATTCTCAAACTACATTTTATTTCCCAAGATTCCACTGGTAGATTAGCTTCTTCCAGGTCTGATGTGTTGCTCTAGCTCCTCATTATTATTATAAAAGTCCCCTTCTTGATATCAAACCACTGTCTCTGCTTTAACCCCCTTTCTCCGAGGCCCCAGAGTTCATCTCGGTGCAGTTCTGTGACTTGTCCAAACATACAATCCATGTCTTAGCAAACCTCTGCCAGAAACCCTACAGCTCAGCGTCAACGTCAAAGATGGCGCCTGAGCGAGAGACTTATAAGGACAAGACAGCGCAGAACTTTATTGACAGTGGATATAAACACAACTCTATTCTGCAAACTCTTCCAGCGACGACTGACCCACGTCCAAACCTCAGGATTAGGTCAACTGACAACTGTGTAAACAAAACATTATATTTGGTTTTAGGGCATTTTAAAAGTTCAGATAGATGCATACTGTAGATACAATACAATACTATTTATTCTTGTGTCTTCCTAAATCACAGCAGCATCATGTCAGAGACTTAACAAAACCATTGAAATCACCAACACATATCAGAGAATCAACAGTTAAGACACAGAAAAGAATATAGAACACATGTTGGTAAATGTCCGACATGTTGTAGAACGTTAAAGTGTCCTGGATCATCACCACATCCTTCTAGTTAGACACTAACTGTCCAACAGACTCCTGCATCAGAAAAAAAACTCTAAAACTCAGTGGGAAAAAAGTGAGAAACCTCAGGGAAATCCACATTGAGAGAGGGATCCGCTCCACACGGACGGACGGGCTGTAGATCCAGGACCTAAGCTACAGAACGTGCACCAGGGCCATAGATAGATACAGATATAGATAGATACAGATATAGATATATACAGATATAGATATATACAGATATAGATATATACAGATATAGATAGATACAGATATAGATAGATACAGATATAGATAGATATAGATATATACAGATATAGATAGATACAGATATAGATAGATACAGATATAGATAGATACAGATATAGATAGATACAGATATAGATAGATACAGATATAGATAGATATAGATATATACAGATATAGATAGATACAGATATAGATAGATACAGATATAGATAGATACAGATATAGATAGATACAGATATAGATAGATACAGATATAGATTGATACAGATATAGATTGATACAGATATAGATAGATACAGATATAGATAGATACAGATAGATACAGATATAGATTGATACAGATATAGATAGATAGATACAGATATAGATAGATACCGATATAGATAGATACAGATAGATACAGATATAGATTGATACAGATATAGATAGATACAGATATAGATAGATACAGATACAGATATAGATTGACACATAGCTACATACATAGATCCGTGTAGGAGAAATGCAGGTGTCCAGTAGCAGCAGAAACACATCCATCAAAACAAACAAAACAAATAAATAGATAATTCTAAAAACAGCTAACTATAGTCATAGTAAGTAATCTTTGTTTATATACCGCCTTTTCACTGCACATTGGAGTCTCAAAGCGGTTTACAATTGTTATTTTTGGGAGCGGGGTCGCCAGTACAGGAGGCACATGCCAGACCTATTGTACATATTTTTAGTGGTAGGGGAAACCGGAGCACCTGGAGGAAACCTACGCAGACACGGGGAGAACATGCAAACTCCACTCAGAAAGGCCCTGGTCCAACCGGGATTTGAACCCAGGACCTTCTTGTTGAGAGGCTCCATTTTCTCTGATCTGGTCCAAAGTAAAATGCTGAAAGCTTTGTTAGCATTTTTCAAAAAGTTAGCATTCCTCCAGTGGACTTTTGCCTGATCCACTTGGTTCGGACCATGAATCCTCTCCGCTCTGGTCTGTCCGGTCTGGACCAGTTAGATCCAACGAAAGCAGACTGAGAATAGTTTTTAGGGAGGATCCAGGACACATCAACAAACATATGATATAATTTAGTAATTTGCAAATAAAAATGGAAAAGCAGTTAATTTGAGCCGAGCCTATTCTACACCATCAGTTAAACTAGCTTTTAAGATGTGCATTTATGGTATACTATGTTTAACAAAACATACAAAAAACAAAGTCTTTTCATATTCTTTAAATATTTGAGTCAGAATATCCTCAAATTAGCCAAATTTTAGTGATTTTCTACTTATTTTCATCCCTTTTTGCAGGATTGGGTTAAAACCAAGTAAGATGGACTCATAGAAGAAATCTCTGGATATTTCTTTCTGAATTGCAGCTCTGTCTTCTCACATATTCAGCACAATCTTCCATTCAAATACACTATAACTCCCAAACAATAAAATCGAAGGGAGCGCAATAGGCAGAAGGTAATGCCATGAAGTGGTCGGGGACATAAAGAAAATCCGATTTCCTGCGATCGGAAAGTACTGCGGCGGCTGCGGTATTATGATTCAAAATAAAATAAACTCCCCTGAAACAAAATGAGTTTTATATACCATCACACAATAATTTCATCTTTTTATAGCCGGCTAAAAGCACCAGCGGGGACAGCGGAATGGCTTTAACAGGAGATTTTAAAAGGATAATGGGTCCCTTCAGCCGCTCATTCTTTCCATCCATCACTCAGTCCGTTTATATGAGCGTGTTTTCTGTTCTCTTCTTCTCTTAAAACCATAGGGACTGGTCGGGGGCTGAGTAAAAACCATAGGGACTGGTCGGGGGCTGAGTAAAAACCATAGGGACTGGTCGGGGGCTGAGTAAAAACCATAGGGACTGGTTGGGGGCTGAGTAAAAACCATAGGGACTGGCCGGGGGCTGAGTAAAAACCATAGGGACTGGCCGGGGGCTGAGTAAAAACCATAGGGACTGGCCGGGGGCTGAGTAAAAACCATAGGGACTGGTCAGGGGGCTGAGTAAAAACCATAGGGACTGGTCAGGGGCTGAATAAAAACCATAGGGACTGGCCGGGGGTTGAGTAAAAACCATAGGGACTGGCCGGGGGGCTGAGTAAAAACCATAGGGACTGGCCGGGGGCTGAGTAAAAACCATAGGGACTGGCCGGGGGCTGAGTAAAAACCATAGGGACTGGCCGGGGGCTGAGTAAAAACCATAGGGACTGGCCGGGGGCTGAGTAAAAACCATAGGGACTGGCCGGGGGCTGAGTAAAAACCATAGGGACTGGCCGGGGGCTGAGTAAAAACCATAGGGTCTGGTCAGGGGGCTGAGTAAAAACCATAGGGACTGGTCGGGGCCTGAAAGAGTAGATAGATAGATACTTTATTGATCCCCATAAATGCAAGTGTCCAGTAGCAGCAAAAACACATCCATCCAAACAAAAAACATCATGGCTACTTTATTATTTAAATTTTTTTTTACAGTTTATTTAACCATGAAAACGATAATGGGTCCCTTCAGCCGCTCATTCTTTCCATCCATCACTCAGTCCGTTTATATGAGCGTGTTTTCTGTTCTCTTCTCCCAGGCTCGAAGAAGCTGGAGTACGGAGGCTCCACATGGCACGAGGACTGCTTCGTCTGCCACAGCTGCGAACAGCCCATCGGCTCCAAGTCCTTCATCCCCGACAAGGACGAGCACTACTGCGTCACCTGCTACGAAGACAAGTTTGCCCCTCGCTGCACACGCTGTAAAAAGGTCTGCGTCCACAAAACTGGAGACCATAGAGACGTTTTGGTCAGGGGTCGAGTTGTAGTAGTAGTAGTAATCTTTATTTATATACCGCCTTTTCACTGCAGATCTGAGTCTCAAAGCGGTTTACAATTGTTAATTTTTTGGGCAATTGTCTCTCACTCCACACAGAGATGGGAGCAGGGTCGCCAGTACTTGAGGCGCCTGCTAGAACTATTGGACATATTTTTAGTGGTAGGGGAAACCGGAGTACCCGGAGGAAACCTACGCAGACACGGGGAGAACATGCAAACTCCACTCAGAAAGGCCCTGGTCCGACCGGGATTCGAACCCAGGACCTTCTTGCTGAGAGGCGAGAGTGCTATCCACCGTGCCGCCCTAAAAACGGGCACGGCGGCCCCTGACCAGTCCCTATGGTTAAAACCATAGGGACTGGTCAGGGGCCGAAAGAGTAGATAGATAGGTAGGTAGGTAGATACTTTATTGATACCCAGAAATGCATGTGTCCAATACCATACCCTACCCTACCCTACCCTACACTACACTACCCTACACATATTGGTCCATATACAGTAGATTCATAGAACAATGTCCATGAATGTTGATAATGCATTCATACAAACAAAACACACTACTGCTACTTTTTAAATTGAAGTAAAGGTAAAGGTGTACTTTATTGATCCCTGTAGGGCAATTCATCCTCTGCATTTAACCCATCCTGATGCCGCTAAGGCTTACGTCAGGAGCAGTGGTCGCCGTAGTAACAGTGCCCGGGAACCCATGTCCAGATGGTCCAGATGCTTGGCGTGGTCAGGACTACCAGGAGGGCTATTATGTATTTAACAATAGTAATAAAATGCATGGATAAACAGAAGGGATATTTACATTATGAAGGTATTTTGAACCTAAACTGGACTGAAAGTTTAACACATTGTTTTATATTCAAATGTAACTTCTAATGATCTTTCTCATCTCAAATGTCCTAGTAAAAACATTCATTCATTTAAATGTGTTGGGTTAAAATGTTAGAATAAAAAACATGCCTTCGTAGCCCATAACCATCAAGATAATAATATTTTAAAAATCATATTAGGGGCTCCAGGAAACTCCCTCTGATGTCTGCTGTTGTTGTGTCCTTGGGCAAGACACTTAACCGTACTTTGCCTGAGTCCCCCGCTGAAAGATCAAGGCCGCTATATAAATAATTAAACATTACTTACATAACAATATTCACGGCAATGTATGTTAAGTCATGTTCTTTATTATGGATTTTGTGTTGTTTATTATTTCATGCTAAATACATACATACAAGTACAATTATATTTATAAAACCGAATTTGTTTCAGACCTTGGCCAAAGGCGGCGTGACCTACAGGGACGAGCCGTGGCACAAGGAGTGTTTCGTCTGCACCGGCTGCAAGATGCAACTGGCCGGACAGCACTTCACCTCCAGGGACGAGAACCCATACTGCCTCAAGTGCTTCGGCAGTCTGTACGCCAAGAAGTGTGAGGCCTGCTCCAAGCCTATCACAGGTACACGATGGTCCAAGTTAATCACAGGTACACGATGGTCCAAGTTAATCACAGGTACACGATGGTCCAAGTTAATCACAGGTACACGATGGTCCAAGTTAATCACAGGTACACGATGGTCCAAGTTAATCACAGGTACACGATGGTCCAAGTTAATCACGGGTACACGATGGTCCAAGTTAATCACGGGTACACAATGGTCCAAGTTAATCACAGGTACACGATGGTCCAAGTTAATCACAGGTACACGATGGTCCAAGCCTATCACAGGTACACGATGGTCCAAGTTAATCACAGGTACACGATGGTCCAAGCCTATCACAGGTACACGATGGTCCAAGCCTATCACAGGTACACGATGGTCCAAGTTAATCACAAGTACACGATGGTCCAAGCCTATCACAGGTACACGATGGTCCAAGTTTATCACAGGTACACGATGGTCCAAGCCTATCACAGGTACACGATGGTCCAAGTTAATCACAAGTACACGATGGTCCAAGCCTATCACAGGTACACGATGGTCCAAGTTTATCACAGGTACACGATGGTCCAAGTTTATCACAGGTACACGATGGTCCAAGTTAATCACGGGTACACGATGGTCCAAGTTAATAACAGGTACACGATGGTCCAAGTTAATAACAGGTACACGATGGTCCAAGTTAATCACGGGTACACGATGGTCCAAGTTTATCACAGGTACACGATGGTCCAAGTTAATCACAGGTACACGATGGTCCAAGTTAATCACAGGTACACGATGGTCCAAGTTAATCACGGGTACACGATGGTCCAAGTTAATCACGGGTACACGATGGTCCAAGTTAATCACAGGTACACGATGGTCCAAGTTAATCACAGGTACACGATGGTCCAAGTTAATCACAGGTACACGATGGTCCAAGCCTATCACAGGTACACGATGGTCCAAGTTAATCACAGGTACACGATGGTCCAGGTTAATCACAGGTACACGATGGTCCAAGCCTATCACAGGTACACGATGGTCCAAGCCTATCACAGGTACACGATGGTCCAAGTTAATCACAAGTACACGATGGTCCAAGCCTATCACAGGTACACGATGGTCCAAGTTTATCACAGGTACACGATGGTCCAAGTTTATCACAGGTACACGATGGTCCAAGCCTATCACAGGTACACGATGGTCCAAGTTAATCACAAGTACACGATGGTCCAAGCCTATCACAGGTACACGATGGTCCAAGTTTATCACAGGTACACGATGGTCCAAGTTTATCACAGGTACACGATGGTCCAAGTTAATCACAGGTACACGATGGTCCAAGTTAATCACGGGTACACGATGGTCCAAGTTAATAACAGGTACACGATGGTCCAAGTTAATCACAGGTACACGATGGTCCAAGTTAATCACAGGTACACGATGGTCCAAGTTTATCACAGGTACACGATAGTCCAAGTTAATCACGGGTACACGATGGTCCAAGTTAATCACAGGTACACGATGGTCCAAGTTAATCACACGTACACGATGGTCCAAGTTAATCACAGGTACACGATGGTCCAAGCCTATCACAGGTACACGATGGTCCAAGTTAATCACAAGTACACGATGGTCCAAGTTAATAACAGGTACACGATGGTCCAAGTTAATCACAGGTACACGATGGTCCAAGTTAATCACAGGTACACGATGGTCCAAGCCTATCACAGGTACACGATGGTCCAAGCCTATCACGGGTACACGATGGTCCAAGTTAATCACAGATACACGATGGTCCAAGTTAATCACAGGTACACGATGGTCCAAGCCTATCACGGGTACACGATGGTCCAAGCCTATCACGGGTACACGATGGTCCAAGCCTATCACGAGTACACGATGGTCCAAGCCTATCACGGGTAAACGACGGTCAAGCCGATCACAGGTACACGACAGTCCAAGCCTATCACAGATACACGATGGTCCAAGCCTATCACAGGTACAAGATGGTCCAAGCCTATCACGGGTACACGACGGTCCAAGCCTATCACAGGTACATGACAGTCCAAGTCTATAACAGGTACTTGATGGTCCAAGTTGATCACAGGTACACGATGGTCCAAGTCTATCACAGGTACACGACAGTAATCGTGGTAATGGTGGTGAGGAGTGATAAGTAGCAGTAGTGGACGTACATGCACGCAAAAGACCCATTAGACCTCTGAAGCTAAGCAGGGAAGGGCCTGGTTAGTACTGTGATGGGAGACCTCTGGGAACACCAGGTGCCACAGTGGGGCGGCTGCGGCTTTAAAGTCCCAAACTGCCGTTGTGTCCTTAGGCAAGACACTTCACCCACATTAGAATCAGTCTGTTGTGTGTGTGAATGTTTGGTGGTTTTATACAGCACTTTTTTGGACACGCAAAAACACTTCATAGTATTACACTACTACTGCAGCCACAACTGCCCTGGGGCACACTGACACAAGCGAGGCAACCAGTCTGTGCCATACACACCTGTAACTATGTATTAAGATCCAATATACATCCCACAGTGGGTAAATTTCAGTGTTGCCTCACAAGTTACATGGCCTTCTTCAGGGCATGGATGATACACACGTGTAGCTGTAGCTAGTCCCTGATGATTTTATTTTTGTTTTTAAACTTTTATCACCACACAACATTAGTTTATCTACGCCTGCTTTAGACGATATCTTCTATTTCGGTTTGGAGGTGATGTCACATGGCAGGATTATGCAGATTCAGCAGAAGTAGTTTGATGCTGTAGGGAAAACAAAAGAGACGAGTGGAAAATGGAGGAGTCAGAAAAGCACATGTTTATAGTTTGGACCAATGGTTTTTGTGTCTTTGTGAAAACAGTCACACACACACACGCACACACACACACACACCACATTCTGCAGGATCAGGGTAAAAGTCTGAAACATGAAAACACAAACACAGCTTCTGCGATTGAATTCACCTTTTAGTTGTGATTGTTCAAACATCACAATTCCTGTGTTTTAAAGGTATTTTTAAAGGAGGATTTTCACAAATTTTAGGAAAGAACCGCCCTCCTCAGAGTGAACGCCTGTTATAACGTGTCTCACATATCACTAGAATAATTGACAAAAAGGAGAACCAATAGTTTAGATTAGGCATGTCCAACCTAAGGCCCGGGGGCCAAATGCGGCCCTTTGTGTGATTATATCCGGCCTTCCGCCTCGCTAACCCAAAAGCAGTCTTTAAGATCAGTTTTTCCTGGTTGTGAAGTTCTATTTCTCTGGAATCCGTTGACGTTGTTTGACTAAACTGACATTTATTTTTGATTGTGTGGTACCAATGAATCTGGTGAGCTGTATCATTCAGCCAACTTCAGCTCTGTCAAAGATGAACCAGTAGAGACATGTCACACCTTGTCTTAAAGCTCAGAACAGCCGTAGTCCAGTTTACCCATGTTTTCGGCCCCTGGGCATATTTGGTGAAGTAAAGTTTGGACGCCCCTGGTTTGGATGATCCACCCGGAAGAATATATATTTCTGGTAGTTTAACGAGGTATAATGTCCTCTAATTGTTCCGTTCAAATTTATCCTGTGCGGTGTACGGTTGTTGGAACAGTCTTAATCGTGGACACTCAATTCTAAGGAAGTACTAAAAAATATTTCTCAAAAGAGTCTTGATTTTGGGCATTTTTGGAAAATATAACAGAAGAAATTGCTGTGTTTCATTGGGGTGGCCTGCAGGGGGCGCTTATCTGGGAAAGCCTTGATCCACCTCGCCCGCCTCATTCCAGTGATTGTTTCAAAGTGTCCTCCTTTATATGAGACCACAGTTGAAACATGAACAAACTCTTGTCTTTCTCTCTATTTGTGTAGTTGCTACAAGCGAACACCGCACAAAAAGATGGCATTTTGGCAACGCTTCTTCTTCTACTATATCTCCGTGTAGAAACCGCTTCTTCTTCTACTATATCTCCGTGTATAAACCGCTTCTTCTTCTACTATATCTCCGTGTAGAAACCGCTTCTTCTTCTACTATATCTCCATGTATAAACCACTTCTTCTTCTACTATATCTATGTGTATAAACCGCTTCTTCTTCTACTAGATCTACTGAGAAAAATGAACTATTGCTCTTTACTAAAATCAAACAAAACCTCTAACTCTTGCATCAAAGAACAAGTATAAAATCTCTATGTTTAACATTATAACAATAAACCATAATAACAAGTTCTCCTCTGATTTCCTTTTTCCCGTGTCTTGCAGGCTTCGGAGGAGGGAAGTACATTTCCTTCGAGGAGCGGCAGTGGCACCAGCCGTGCTTCACCTGCAGCCAGTGCTCCGTCTCGCTGGTGGGGGCCGGATTTTTTCCAGACGGGGACAAGATCTTGTGCCGTGAATGCCACGGCAACCTATAAGAGCTCCGCCCACTCACTGACTGCCCCTCCCCCACAGTGACGGACACATAACCGTCGATGCAGATCCACGCAGGGCTGTCCTTCGGGAACGTACTTGATGCTTTTTTTAAATCCAAGGACGACATTTGTGAGAAGATTTGTCAGAAGAGGAGGTCTCACTTTGCTTCCCTTTGACACTTTGTCTGTAATGGTAAAAACAAAACAAATCTGGCATATTTTCGTGGACTTTCACTTTCAAGTTGGGAATCTGAATGTTTGGAAAATACAAGAGAAACTCAGAATAATCCATTTACTTTATTATGATTCAGCTGATGAGAGCTCGGAGACGTTCCAGAATGTACGCTTAAAAAATAAAACCAGCATTTGCATTTTTGATAATGCTAAACTAACTTGTAAACTAACTTAACATTACAGTATTTACATAAAGTGCCTTAAAACTCGTAAAACTAAGAAACTAAAACCAAAGATTGTTTAGTTTGTGCTGTGTTTAAAACAGTGGTTCTCAAATGATGGGTCTGGACCCGGACGTAGTAAAGATGGAGAATTTATTATAGCAATGTACTTTATATGTTTCTTTTTCTAATACTAATTATCGCTGCAATGATGTCACTGCATTTCTAATTTAGCACCACCCATTTTCGGATATTTCTACTGTATTTTGTGATGAATGAAAGCAGAGTCTACAGCTATATTTAGTTTCTTTGATGGATGGATTTTGCCACATTTTGCCTCTTGTTGCTCAGATTGTGCACATAAGACATTTCCCAGCTCTGTCGCCTCCATGTCCTGTTCCAGCTTCGCTTTTGTGCTGTTGTCTTGCTCCAAAAGTGTGTCTGTGTCGCGGGTAAAGAACAATCAGAGAATACCTGAATAATGTAAAGTCCCAAAGTGCAGCTCAAGCTAACCCTAAAGAAGAAGGTGTGATTACTGTATATATATTTTCAAAGTAGTGAGGTAGTACTTTAACATTAGTGACCTTTTTTGACTCGTTTACCATTTTTTGATCAATAATTGGATGTAAAACAGGCAAAGATAGAGGCCTGAAACTCTATAGGAGATTGAGAACTACAAAAATCAATAACAGAATCAACCCAAAGAGAAATATGTAAGAATATAGAGACATGTTTGTGTTTTAAATCTCTATCTCAGCGTCTAAAGAAGCAGCCTTCAACTTTTTATGTGCATTTTCTTTGTATTTACATATTTGCATGTTTGTCCCAGAGGCTGTAAGAGTGGGCATCATGGTGTCTTTGCTCTTGCTTCTGTCTCTTGTGCTCCGGGAACAATTCTTTTGTCAGTTTTCAGTTGCGAGGGTGTAATATGCAACAATATTCACTTTTTTGTTTACACTTTAGAGTAGTTAACAGCTAATTAAGTGCTAATTAGCGTACTTTAGCCCTAACCCACATGGAAAAATGTCAGTTAGCCTTATTCAACAGCGAACTAACGACTATGTATAAAAGGGACTAATGAGTGCCTAATAAACACCAATTATGAGCTATTTAGTCATAATTTAGACACTAATTAGCAGTTAATTATTCATAAATTAGCAGTTAATTATTATCCATCCATCCATCCATCTTCTTCCCCTTAATCCATTTCTGGGTCGGGGGGGTGGCAGTCAGAGCTGCACCCAATTCACTGAGCACCAGCCCCTCACTGATCCTCTGCAGGTGGTGAGTCCACAGGAGGACGGCTGCTCTGTCAGTGACAATACGGCCTTGATTTTTCAGCGGGGGCTTCAGGCAATGCAGGGTTAAGTGTCTTGCCCAAGGACACAACGACAGCAGTCATCAGTGGGAGTCGGTGGAGAAGGTCCCGTGGTGGGCTTGAACCCACGACCTTCAGGCTCAAAGGCCAGTGCTCTACCAACTGAGCTAGTGTCGCCCCAGTTAATTATTAGTTAGAGCTAAACCAAAGTGTGGCTAATTTTTTTTCCTCCACACAAAAGTTTCATACTGCCCCTTTAACATGAATATTGAAATGATTGTCAAAACCCCGAGTTTAAACAGTCTCTTCTATTGTCAAATTTTTGTTTCTTGATTGGGTAAAATGCATTATTCAACATTTGACTAAAATGTTTGTGCTTTTGTTTTGTAAATATTTATCTGTCTCTTACGTCAGAGCGTGCATGGTTTTTTGCTACACTTTAGAATCTGAATTGTTAGCGTGTAAAATGTGTTCCTATATATTTTCTTTTTCAGCTTTGATGCTGGTGAGTCAGAGTTATACGCATTTCCACATATTTACACAGACTGTTCCGTTTGTGGCCACAGCCGAATGAGCTTTCTGTCAATCAGAAATATGTGATACTGCTACATGCTACGACCGGTTAGCTCGTTTTTGTGAAATAAAGTAAATGTACGCGGCAGACATGTTTATATTCTCCTGTTTGCTTTGTGGCTGCGGCTTCCTGTGCGTTACTCCTTTATGACCTCGGAATACTTGTGTAAGGTTTCGTATGACCAAATATCACCGAGGCTTTCGAGGAACGGTTTGCATGACGTCCATGTGTGACTGATCAAAGCCGTGGAACGAGAGCGCTAACTCGAAAACCACCGAATGTAACGGTTTGGTCGATAAAGAGGAAGTAAGTTTATATACCCAAAAGGAAATGCCAAAGAAACACACAAAACCCGGGTCAAATGCTAACGTAATCATCTCAGATTTTACATTAGCATTGTTACTGGGTGTATAGTACAGTATGGTATTTTTTCCGTTGAAATGGCAAGACAAAAAAAATTCAAGCCGCGATGGATGCCCTTGCCAGCCTGTGTGACCAGTACCGGACTCCAGAGCTCCCTCAGGTCGCGTTCTTTTTGAAAAGGGGTTGGAAGAAGCAGAGCCATGTTTGGTTACAACTCCCCTCTCTTGCACAACATAAACACACACACACAAATACACAAATGCAAATACATACATACATACACACACACAAAAACATACACATACACAGACACACAAACTCCTCTTTTGAACCTATTTGTAAATCTTTTAACATCTATGACCACTTGGAGTGTTTTCGTGGTAGCTGATGTGAAGTTGCCCATTCTTTGAACAAACCCTCAAAATTGTAGAAATTCCTGGGCCGCCTTGCATGAACTGCGCATTTAAGCTCTTCACAGATGAATCAATGGTTATATAATTTAAATGTCAAAAACAAGTTTCTTTGTATTTGGCTTCACACGACCACTAAACTATACTTAGTGAAGGTGTATAATAAACTTTATATGAGGGAGGGTCAGAACTAGCTACTAAGCTTCTACTGACGCTAGAGAAGTGCTCATGGGGAGAGATCGTTCACCTATTGTACTTGACTATATCATGATGAAAACCATGTACAGGTTTTCGTCCATGACTAAACCCAGTGAGCTCCTTCACGGCCTGGATCTGTGTGTGTCAGTGTGCGTCTGTGTGTGTCAGTGTGCGTCTGTGTGTGTCAGTGTGTGTCAGTCTGTGTGTGTCAGTCTGTGTCTGTGTGTGTCAGTCTATGTTTGTGTGTGTCAGTGTGCGTCTGTGTGTGTGTCAGTCTGTGTGTGTCAGTCTGTGTCTGTGTGTGTCAGTCTGTGTCTGTGTGTGTCAGTCTATGTCAGTGTGCGCCTGTGTGTGTGCGTCTGTGTGTGTCAGTGTGCGTCTGTGTGTGTCAGTCTGTGTCTGTGTGTGTCAGTGTGCGTCTGTGTGTGTCAGTGTGCGTCTGTGAGTGTCAGTCTGTGTCTGTGTGTGTCAGTGTGCGTCTGTGAGTGTCAGTCTGTGTCTGTGTGTCAGTGTGCGTCTGTGTGTGTCAGTCTGTGTCTGTGTGTGTCAGTCTGTGTCTGTGTGTGTCAGTGTGCGTCTGTGTGTGTCAGTCTGTGTCTGTGTGAGTCAGTGTGCGTCTGTGTGTGTCAGTCTGTGTCTGTGTGAGTCAGTGTGCGTCTGTGTGTGTCAGTGTGCGTCTGTGTGTGTCAGTGCGTGTGGAACAAACAAAACAGCATTCCCAAAGTTTTATTGAGTTTCATTCAGACTCCAACATGACTAATGTCCCGCTCTGTGGTCTCATGCCACATGCTCTGACAAACGGCTGCAAACACCTCCATGTTTACCAGAATTCTTTAGTGTTATGCCCGACACCATCATTCAGATCTGTGGAGTCAATACTAAGGAGTCAATAATAATGAAAAGTTCAATAAAAGCATACACTGCAAAAATAATAAAATATGAGGTAATTATTGCTTGAATTGAGTGGGTTTTTATCTGAATCTGAAACATTCTGACTGTTTAAACAAGATTCTCCAACGGACAAATCCATTTAGTCTTCTTTCTCATTCCTACAGACACATTTCTTCTTTTTAAAACAAGATCATTTTGCTTTGTCCCGTTGGAAAATCTTGTTTTAATGCAGTCAGAATGTGCTCAAATTAAGATTAATTTGTCCCCAAATTTGAGCAATTTGTTACTTATTTTTCATCACTTTTTGCAGTATACTGAAGTTCATTAAAAAAATAATAAATATGAGGTAAAAATTGCTTTAATAAAGTGTTTTTAATCTTAAGAGAGGTCAAAAAGTGCTCAAATTAAGACTTAATGGCTTTGTCCCAATGGAAAATATTGTTTTTTTTCAAGAACTGTTGCTTTATTTTCTAATTGCAAGATAACTTTTGCTTTGTCCCATTGGCAAATCTGGTTTTAAGGCAGTCAAAACGTGCACAATTTAAGTTGAAAACACTCGGTTCAAGATATTTTTTACCTCATAATCTTCACTTTTTGTAGGGTATTTGTCATTCCAAAGCATGCTAAAATAAAATGCTAACATGCTATCATATCAATTCACCAGTTTCCACTGTAAGCCTTGCATATAAGAACAACACATGTGCACTTTTCTACCGGTTCTACCTTGTTCTCACTTGACTACACTCCTCACCTCTGAAACCTGTTGATCAAATACTAACGTGTATGAATACAAATGATAAAGAATGCAGCGGGGTGAGATGTTTCTGCTGACTGGACGGTTTAACGGCACTATA